AAAAGAAAAAAAAAAACAATAACAGAAAGAAAATCTATGTTATAGATGCTCACACAATTAAATGAGTTCCTTGGGGAATCTAATATATCCTTGCTCTTTGATGTCTCAAGTCAGGATTAGTGAAATCCAGACTCTAGAAAATTTAAAGATAGTATAGTTCTCTTTTAAAATAGTTCTTTGAGGTCAAATTTAAAACTCACGCAGGGAAAGAAGGATCTTAAAGGAAGTCTCATGAAATTCATCATGCTCGGCATCTCTGAGGTTAACATTAATTTTGAATGATGCCTTGTACCATTTAAAAGTGAGAGATTGTTGCAACAATGTGTTTTCAATTCTAAACAAAGTTAGGATAATAAGAAGAGTAACTCTGCAGAGTACATCTGGTGATGCAGCCACCTATGCTACAATAAAAAGCTATAAACCACTTTAGGTGCTTGTTTTGCCTCAGAATATTTGACTGTTGCAAATGTAATCTCTCCAGGGTGGGGACTCCATCTTGTTCAACAAATTCAGCCATTGTTCAATGGTGCATAGGTATATGGTGTTATGCAAAGAATTCAAGGCAAGCCATAGGGATATGGTCCTCAATACTTTGCATTTCTTTTCCTATCTAGATTTTTATTCCTGTTATTTATTCACTCTGAGCATCTAGAGTCTTCCAGCCTAGCACATAGGGGCTGGTTATGAGCAAATAACTTTCTTTTATACAAATATGCAGATATAGATATATGTTCACATGCGTATATTAATTATTGAAAGTCTTGTTTAAACATACTCAAAAATAAAAGTTCACAGTTCCAAATGAGTTTAGGTATGCTTTCGGTAGCCATTTATTTATCAGCCAACCATGTATTTGTGGATCCTCTCTCTCAGATCCTCATTTCCTAGCTGCATCCTAGCTTCAGGACTTTACTCAGTGACTCAGGCAGCTAATGATTTCCTCTGTGTGCCCTACTGGTGCCCCATCTACATAAAAGAAAGTATTTGACATAGCAAGATCCTCACTTTCAACTTGTTTGAAACCTCACTGTTCAAACTGTTACCTGAAAATAAACAGTTCTGTAATCCTCTCATACACATTTGAAGAAGAGTTTGGTAGC